ATGAAAATGTGCTCACCAGATCAAATGGCAATTTCTCCAACAAAGAGAAGCACAGGTTCAATCCCTGTCAGAGAGCACATTTTCTTTCAGATTTCGAGAATGTGCAGGCTGATAGATATAACACATACTGTTTAAAATTAAAAATGATGCATCTATTTCAAATATGAGTATCCACTACAATAACATTTGAATAAAAATGTCGGATTAAAAATAAATCCTTTAGAAATTTCTTTGTTTATATTTCAGATATGAAACTGAGCAGACATGAACATTTTGGGGAAAATATCTGGATGAGGAAATATACTTTCCTTAAAAAGGAAAACAGTGCCTTGCTAAACTGTGATGCTCTCTGTAGCTGAGGGGTAAAGCATGCTGGATCAAACAGCGGTTTCTTTTACAAAGGAGGATGCCGGTTTGATCTCTGCCAGAGAGCACATTTTCTTTAATGATATTTCTTGAATGCACTGACCAACAGATGTAATACACACTGTTTAAAATAAAAACAAAAATGGGGCATCTATTTCAAAACATACACATCAATGTAAGAAATACTTATGTCACCCAATTTCCCCAAACATAAATTAGACTTGTAGCACATTTGTTTGTACTTGTTTGGATTAGACTCATCTACTCGCAACACATTATTATTTATGAAAATGCAGACAGGATCACAAGAGATTTTTTATACCAAATGTTAAAATGAAAAATTAATCATTTCATGATTTATTTAACTATTTCTAATCTTTATATAAAAATGTACAAAGATTCTAGTTTTGTAACTACAAGAAATATAAATATAAAATTGTTCATGGAAAAATATCATCTCAAAATCAAATGTAGTTAAATCTGTTCTATTTGAAAAAAAATAAAAAAATTACATTTAGAAAAACTAAAGAGCTTTTGCCTGAAAATTTATAATTATTATATCAATTAAATTACATTTTTATCTTGAATTTTTTAATTCAAGATGACAAACCTAAAGCAATTTATGAACAGAAGTTATCTTAAAACATATTATGCATAGAAATTAACCATTTTATTTTTAATTGGTAGCTAAATTCTTCACATTGCAGATATATGTAACATTTGAATTAATACTTTCATACATACAGTATTGGGAAAAGTCATATGCTTTTGAAATTCAACCCAGATTGGGGAAAAATTTATAGAACTATCAAAAATATCCCAAAAGTCTACATGGCTAGCTGATAGATTTGATCATTTTTTTAGTAAATTATGCCAAAAATCACAGATTATATTCATATGGTGGTTCATTATAAACATTTAAGCATAACTACCTCCAAAGAAACACAATAGCTAAGGTTTAAAATGAATTTTTAAAAATGGAAAAATCTCTCTTGAAGCTTTTGTTTTAAGCTAATTGATTAAATTTAATATTTTCAATAAGCAAAATATTTTGCTGTATTTCAAAATTAATTTAACTTGGCATTGAGCTATCAGTATAATGTAATACTCTTTACTAAGAAATCTTTCAAAAATAAAATATACTTTTCTGAAACTTTAAGAAATATTAGCCAATTTAAATTTTAAATCTGATTTGAAACCAATTTTACTTAATTTTAGGTTAAAATATTGCAAAAATGCATTTTTTTTAAACAGATTGACAGCCAGAAGTTTATCTATTATTTTTTCTACAGAGGAAATATCTGTAAAATAAAAAACCTTTCTTGATGCTTTTATTTTAGTTTTAATTTCAAGCTAATAGATACTAAATTTAAAATCTTAAAAATTTAGGAAAATAATCCCCATAATCTAATGTTTAAAAGATTTTAGGTACTTTGGCTTTAAATATACTCTTATTTTTACCACTCTTATTTTCTGATAATGTTGTTTATGGATGTCCATATTTACAAAAATTGGCATGTTTATACACACACACAAAAAAATTCTTTTTAAAATACTGATGCTCATTGAATTGTAATAAGATTATTCAGTTATGATTAGAAAATATAGTTTTTACTTAGTAACAATATCACCTAACTGGTACAAATACAGAATTTTAAAAGATTTAAAACTTTATAGATTATTCTAATTAATTTTTTTTTTAAAAATGCAAACAATTCTTGAAAAAATAAATATAAACATTAAGCAGAAAAAAATTCACTTGTGAATCAGTCCTGAAAGTTTCATTAAAATCAGACACTTGATTTTTTGCAAGAATTTCTAAATCAGTGTTTTTTTTTTCACTGCAAAAAAAAAAAAAAAAAAAAATTTCCTATACTAATTTATGGTCCCTTGCTGACAAAAGAAAAACAAAATTTTAAACCAAGACATTTTAAAATGGTAAATATAATTTAATAATCAAAAAATCCTTTGGTCTTTCCTCATAAGATTTTGATCATTTTTAAGTTTGGGACATTTTTTCATCATTTATGTTCATTTTTTACCAAATCTGTGGATGTACCTAAAGTAGAGAGTGGGCTTTATCATTCAACAGTATCTGATTGCCTCTATCAAAGATTACAAAAATTTCCTATAGACTGCAGGGATAGATCTATGTGTATATGACTCTAGTATCAGTGAAAAACATGTATAAAGTAAAACTAAGTGGATCTTTTAAAAGATCTAATGTGGAAAAAAAAACAGTCAGATAATTGTCAATATAGAAAGAAAAAAAAACACACACAGGCAGCAAAGCAATTTTGAACAACAAAACATTCTACATAAGTCATAGCTACAAACATCACTGAGAATATCAATATTAAATCATGCATGATAATTAAATTTAATATAAAATATTATAAACATAGGTACCTCCAAGCATCCACTAAAAAAGCATACTATGATGAAAAACAGCTCCAAACTTGATAAAATCGTTTTATCCTGAAAATGTTTATTATTAAGAAGACCAAAGTATTTTTGATTATTTCATTAAATTTTTTAATCCTTTCTAGCAAATTTGAAATTTTGGTCAAAAATGTTGTTTTTCTTACATTAATGGGTGGGCTAAAGATTAGTATGAAAAATTCAGCATATTTTTGCAGTTAAAAAAAAAAAAAAAAAAAAAAAAACATTATTTTGGAAATTCTTGCAAAAATTGTCAAATTTAATGAAATTTTCAGACATTCATAAATGAATAATTTTTTTTTTTTTTTGTATATGTTACCTCTACTTAATTTTATGAAATTTTACAAAATTAAAGTTTCACTCTCTTCATATTTATATTAGTTAAAAGTAGGACTCCTTGGTGAATTTAAATCATCAATTTGTTTTTGTCAAACAGAAACACTATTTACCAAAAATCTGCTCTGAATCATAAAATAAAAAATGCAATAAAATTATGACATAATTAGGAAAACTTTTATTTTTATAAGATATAAGGATACTATTGTCTTAAGAAAAAAATTTTTTCAATGAATAATGAGTTTTACAAGAATTGTTTTCATTTTTTTTAAATTTTAATTAGAATAATCAATTAAGTTTTAAATCTTAAAATTTTCTATTAATTTGACCCTCTTAAATGATATTATTAAGTAAAAACTATATTAATCATAAATGGAAAAGCTTAGTAGAAATCATCAAACACCAATATTTTAAAATTTTGAATTTTTTTTGCATGTGTATAAACTTGCCAATTTTTGTAGATAGTGGCAACCCATACATGACATTATCAGAAAACAAGAATGATAGCTGTAGTAAATTTAAGGCCACAATTTCTAAAATTCAATAAAACATTAGAGTATGGAGAATATTTTCCTAAATTTTTAAGATTACTGAGTACTTAAAAATTATACTAAAAAAAAAAAAAAAAAAAAAAAAAAAAAATCACCCACGTCATTTTCAATTATACTTTACAGAAAAAGTCCCTGTAGAATAACATTAGATCTGTCATCACACTTGTTGGCATGTCAACACCTTAAATAAACAGCTATTGTCAGGTTAAAAAAAAAAAAGCATTTCTATATTTTAAACTTAAAATAAATTATATTTCTTTCAAATCAGATTAACTGTACTTTAAATCGGCTAATATTCCTCAAATAAACTTTCAGAAATGTATATTTTATTTTTGGAAGATTTTTTTAATAAAAAGAATTACATTATGATGAAAGCCTAAAAAAGGGTGCTCATCAGCTATTTTAGCAAAAAAAAAAAAAAAAAAAAAAAAAAAACTCCTTCCAGCCAATTTAAATTAGTTTTGTTTGAAATACACCAAAATATTTTGCTTACTGAAAATATTAAATTTAATCTATTAGCTTGAAATTAAAACTAAAATAAAAGCATCAAGAAAGGTTTATTATTTTTAAAAATTAATTTTAAACTTTATGTATCACATTTTCTATGGTGGTACTGAAATAAAAAAAACTGAAAATATTTAATATCTGGGCTATAAATAACAACAGATAATAATTTGAGAATGCAGTAAGTGCATTAAATTATTCTGGATTAATTACAAAAAAGATCTTTACAGTGTAAAAAGAAAGATGTACCAAAACTTCTATATTAATATAAACACTATTTCACAATTGTGTGTCACCTGATGACAAGAGTTACTGCTTCATAAATTCTGAACATTCACCTACTTCAAATAACTTTATTGATTAAAAAGGTCACATTCAACAGCTGCTATCTCTCCAACACATGGATATATTCATCTGAATTAAAACTACATGCTTTTTTAAAATTTCAATTTAAAACAGTAGAACTTGAAACTAAAAGTAATTTGAATCAATTTATGCATCAAGTTTTTTATATATTGGAATAAGACAAGTGCACAAGATGTGTCATGAACTTTGACTTCCAGCTTACATTGTAATTGTATAAATATAAACATTTTTCAAAGTATGAAATGTTTTATTTGAAAAAGCTGAGTGAGAGTCAAATTACAATAATTTAAATAATTTCAATACAATTTTCCCTTAAGAAAACTAGAACTGAAGCATAATATTCTTTCAGGTATTTTGAAATCATTTCTTTCAAATTAAAGAGTAAAAAAATAATAATTTCAATTTTATTTAACATAAAATCAAATTAATACTCACATATTAAGTGGCTGTCAATAATTTGGAAAAATCAGCAGGAAAGCATATCATTTTAACTAGAAAATTTCTCCCCTCAATTATCTGATCAGGATTTTCAAGATTTCCTACAAAATAAAAAGTATTAATAATGATATCTATAAAATAAAAAGAATTACAATAAAAAATGAAACTCCACTTATAAGGAAATTAGTATACTTAAAAATGGAAATAATAAATTCCTTAGAAAATTTCAAACAAAACATTTTTTAGAAAAAAAAAAAAAAATCACAAAGCATAAATCGTGCATTAAATGTCAATGTTAAATAAAATAATTAGAAAAAAAAACTTCACGAATGCAACAAATTGAGAGAAAAAAAAAACGGTGTTTGTTTTATGAAGTTCATCTTCATACGTTTCGATCCCAAAATAAAACTTGATAATCATGAGTGAATTCACTAATTAAAAAAAAAATCATTTTTTTAAATAAACCCAGTTTTAAGCAGCTGATTTCGTCTGCGTTTGCTGATAATAAAAAAAAGACCAAAAATGGTAAAAACAAAACATGCTATTAATTACTAGAAACTTTTTTCATTATCAATTTAACAAATGAGTCTTAACATTTTTCAATAACATTTCTATATAAAAAAAGAATCTACGTAAAACCTAATATGACCAAAACTAGCCTGAGTCTATCAAAGTTAAACAATTTTAAAAAATATAGGTAAAAATCATTTAAATACAAAAAAAAAATTCTAATCCGAAATAAGTTTCAGAAAACTTGTGTTATGTGTGAAAATATGTTAAGAAAATGATTATGGTAAAATTATCAACCATTATTTGTTTCTCCTATACTTAAGAATTATTGTAATTTCATATATATATATATATATATATATACACACACACATACATACATAGAGAGAGAGAGATAGCATAGGACAGTAATTTTTACATTCTTTTCTCTAAATAATCAAATTCAAAACAGCCGTCAAAAGGTTTTGTTTTCGTGGTCATTTAAAATTTTACCCGAGATAAATAAATCTTAAATAACGTTCGATTATTATTGTTTTACGTTACATACCACCGATAAATGTTTGGACACATATCTCTGGTGTGTTAAGATTTTACAAGTATTCAATTACTCTTAAGTGTTGACAATAATTGCGCGACTTAATTTTTTTTATACAAATTTTTAAGGAATTAAGTTACCGCCCTTAAACATAACTATAGTTCCCCAGACAATTACAATCACCTTCGACCATTATTATTAAAAGTTTCATATCGGGAAAGAAAAAAATAACATTTCCAGACTTAATAAATCGAAACGTTTTGTTTACTGACATTGCTATCTAAGTCTTTAAAGCGTGTCTATTTTTCTCTTTTTAAACCCTAAATCGCTTGTCTTCTTTTCAGTGATTTATACATTCCTGATCGGTTAAGAATTTCGTTTCACTCGATCCTAAAGGTTTGAAACTAAGATCAGCTGTCTTAATTGATTATAACATAAAAAGCGATGTGCGAGTTCGCCGCGCTTTAGTAAAAAGCGTCTGAACTGGAAATTTTTAATCCCGTCTCCACAAGGTCAGGACGATACTATGAACTTCAGTCCAGGTCTGACTGAGGAAGGTACATGTAACTCTTGCATTCGAACTATGTCCGAAGGAGTCAGACAAGCAAGTAACGGCTAGTGGAAAAAGATAAGAAAAAAAAAAAAGCTGCCTTCTTGTCAAATTTTCACCATTTTCCATGAAGGCAGCAAAATGGCGGCGGCACAATGACTTTTTAGCAGCAACTACATACCTGACATTTTGTTATAATTCCAATCGGGGGGGAAAGTTAAGTCATTTGAGTTGATAGTTTCAAGCCTCGAAAGAAAAAAAAGAGGCACAATAATCTACTCAAATATTTAACCTCAGCTGATGTCGTTGATAAGAAATCTCTTCAAAAAAGTGAATCTACGGTTTGTTCTTAAACATACTCATGTCTACCGCCATTATACATGTGGAACAAGAAAACCACTAACAGCTACACTACTTAAGAGCCAAATAAAATACTACTAATAAAAGTTCCCGATATTATATTTTCTGCCGGTAATCATTATAATTACACGAGGGGACTATGGTAAATTTATCGTTAAATTTAATAGATTTGAACGCCTGTTTTAAGTCTCTCATTTGTTGTTCGTCCATTAAAAACTAAGGCTTTTTTTACCATTAATCCGCAGCCTACAGACACTATTTGATATTTATGGTATTATCTCGGCTGGTGTTTGCTTTCTTTCGTCATATAAATGTGTACATATCATCGGTTCATATTCTGATGTTGTTAAAAGTTATAAGAATTACCCTTTTTTTTTCTTTTTTTTTTTTAAACATAAATCTTATCCTCACAGTTGGCTAATATTTTTCCAAGCTACTACATCACATGCAGCACGCTAATTTTCAACACTGCTTTCCTGACTGTGACGTCACGCGAAGACCGGTCAGGACAATGATAATAGCCTCATTTCCCAAAAATATTATTATTTTTATTTCTATGTTAGTAAACAATGTAAAATAGCCGTAAAACAATTTGAAATATTTTATATTTGCTTGAAAATAAATTTTATTACGAATACCTGTATAATGTTACATTTTTTGCCTATCTTTTCTGACTTATTTTCGACTTGCCCCTACTGAGTCCCGCAATATACTCTCTAACTAAAAGCATTTAAAAAAAAAAAGTATGTAATATTAACAAATCATTTCATTTAAATGTGATTTTTTAAACTATCAGAGCATTTATTTAAATGTATAACAATTTTTTGTTCCTTACTCATAAATTTATTAAGAGGAGTTAGAGGATTTTTCTTTAAATGGTTTTCCATTCAAGTTGTTTAGAAGCGGTAATAGCTGACCGACTGACTAGTGAGTGACTTAGTAGTACTACTGTCTCTAAACTGATACAACGATCAACTATAAATTTTACTAGCTTATCAATCCATGTCATCTGACGTCTGAAAAATACCAACTCATTAGAAACACAAACAACTGTAAAGTAATTAATTGTCAACTATGATTAGTAGTAAAAAAAAGTAATGTTTTTTAGTTTTTTTACTTTTTATTCCGTGTTACGGTGTTACTGCTAATTTTCAATTATTTTTGTTTTTGTTTGTTTTGCGATTTTTGTTGTACTAATTTTGATAATCTCCCTGAATCACTGTCCCAAAATGTCTTTGTAAAAATAAACAACGGTTCCTTCGTTTTGAAACGCTAATTAATTATTAACGTGACAACACAAAAATTACATTATTACACAATCATGGCATACAGTTGCAAATGTTCAGCAATTTCTATTAGTAAAAAAAGTAATTTTTAATTTGAATGTATGCCAGACAGAAAAACAGTGGGGAGTGAAGAATTATCCCGAGTAATAGTTTTAGCAACCCCCACGGAGACAGAAGGGGGTTTTTTGTAAGTTCTAAAAAATGTTTTATCACCCGTTAAGCTTCACGGATTGGCTGATAAAAAAAATAATGAATACTAATAATAATAGTTTATATTATCACCAGAACAGAACCCTCAACAAATCAGAACAGTCCCAGCCAAATCGGTACGTATGGTAAGGCAAGGAAGAGAGTTTGTTGGGTAGAATGAGAATCCTTCATCAGAAAAAAGAAAGATAGGTGAAAGAAAGAAAAAGTGCAGTTCAATAACCTTTGAGTTTTATCAAATGATGTGTATCCATCTAAATTTTTCTTCTGCATTTAAAAACTGCTTTTCTCATATGTTCAAGTTAATATGCTGTACCACTTTACTTTTATGTGTGTCTTTCTGACATCCACTGAAATCACATTAGACTTGTAGGGTGATTTCTGGATAGTTTTTAATTGTATTTAAAAAAAATTCATATTTTTCAAATCTGTTGGTCTTCCTCAATATTATATTTTTTGTGATCATTTATATCAGAATCAATCAAACATGTAATTATTTCAGTCAGAATTGATTGCATAGCTGTTAGCACTTGTTTTTCTTTGAACATGAGTATCACTTATCTGCACATAAACTATCATTGTTTGAAATCTGTACAGTTTTTTTGTTATTTTATCCTTTCAAAACTTTTATTGACAAATATTTCAATATAAGTTTTCAGTTTGTCTATAGATACTTCATTACGTATATTATCATTCATTTTAATGAGGAAATGTTTTGATGAATGTTGTAGAACTTTCTCAGGATCTTCCAAAGGTTTCCTAATACAAACCACTCTAATCCATTCACTTGGAATATAAGGTTGATTTAAAATATAAGAATTTCTTTTAGAAAGTCATTGAGATCAAACTGTAGGGTGGTTTTACTCAAATTCTTAGTAAATGAATCATCCTTCATTGTATTAGATGGACTTGGAGAATTAATCTTGAGAAACCAGCTGCAGCAGGAAAAGTTGAGAAACCCCATTCATGAGCTCTGTTGTGAGGAGTACAACTTGAAATCACTGAATTTGATGATTCTTTACAAGCTATAATTGCTGTTAAAATTGTTCTGTGTGCTCTCTTTCTATTAAACTATGACACTGGGTGGTAAGCAGTTCTCAAACCAATAATTTAAGATAGTACTAAAAATAAGTCACTTTCAAAATGATTTCTCCTGTCTTGTGATTTGTGTAACTACAAAAGTTTCAGATAGTTGAACTTCAATTCATTAATTAGCATATAACATTAAAAGATATTTATATGGTTTTAAACCATTATAGAATAAATGAAGTGGTCAGACAATGGACAGTTTGAAAACAGGGAGGTAATTTTGAATGGTGATCTTGTATTTTTATTAATTTTTTATTGTTAGCAGCATATATACTGTATGCAAAACCCTTTTATGCATTTGTCTATACTTGTTCAATAGTACCTGTATTTAACTGATTTTATAAATGAAACAATACCTAGATTAGACAATGAATAAAGGTTATTAAAATAGATTTACACAAAGCTTTTGGTATCAAAGATCTAAAATAAGAAGTGAATACATTTGATAATATTTTAGAATTATTACCTTATTCATTAATGTTAGTAAATAATTTAATCTCTTCATTAATGATTTCTGTCAAATAACTGATATCTACTTTTATCACAAAAACTGACCACAACATATATCTTTTATATGTGATATATGTCAGAAATGTGCTCAGTAAGTACTGATATATATCTTTTGCTGGGTTTGAACTGCAAAATAGTTTAAGATTTGTCAGTAAAATCCTATGGTGACCTACAATAACACATCAAAAGTGAAGCTGCTAGCAATTCTGTCAAAACAGGGCTCTACGTTGCGAGTGAAACAGTCGCATTTGCGAGTGATTTTTCCAAGTGGCAACTAGAAATAATAAAACGCTTATCTTTTGAAGACTGTGTTTTTTTCACCGACAATCTTCCAAAACTCATTACTGAGTGAAAAATGTCTGTTCAATTTTTTTTTTTATTAAAACGAGCAAAATCAAATTATTTAAACAATAAAAGGTTTAACAATATAGAAGATATTAATTGGCATTTTGACGACGGCAGCACACATTTTATTCGCAGTTTCATGTTTCATTCATCTTTCTGAGCATACGCAAAGATTTAAAGAAACATGGCAACAAAGAAAACAATACTAAAGCCGATATCAGCTTTCTTCACAAAATCGAACAAAGTAAAAATGCTGAATGAAACTGAGACTCAAAAGAATGCCCCGAATGATAAACAAAGTAATGATGACACAAAATGAAAGTAAGCCGTCCATTGTACAAGAATTCCGACAAGTTTGGTTGTCAACTTTTGCCTGGCTTCATTATGATAGAAAAAAAATGCGATGTATTATGATTTTTGTCATAGGGCTGGTTCAACTTTGGCTGGAAAAACTGATTTTCTAAATGGTAGTACTAAATTTAAACATGAAAACGTCCTTGCCCATAGTAAAATATATAGTAAATTTATGCCACACCATATTTTGTACCGACCAATCTCATTGGTTGAATTTGACTTTGCTTTTCGCAGGCATTTTCAACGGCCCGTGCCTTTATTTTCAGTTGCTGAAAATCTTCAAAATGACAGGACTCATATTTCAATCACTTTGCAGGGCCTTTAGCGCCCAAAATTAAGCCTAAATGACTAGGCAATGATTCTTCTTGTCTAATATTCTAGAGACTTTTCAAGGCTGAATAATTCAGTCGATTTATTGACTGTCGTATCTTTATGTACTTTTAACATGAAGAACTTTCTGCATGCTCTTGACAAATATCCGAGTTGTTATTTCAGCAACCAAAACGGTAATACTCCTGCGACAACGTTGTTGGGGACATGCAGAATTTATTAATTATGCTTGAAAGAATCAGAAAGAATTTGTGTAGGCTGCATGACTTCCTGCATCCACAACAAATAAATAAACGAAATTTAAAATACGATTAAGAATGAAACATATTCAATTAGAAATTAATATAACATTTATATACAATTCAAAGAAATATACAAACAGGATAATTGATATATGTTATGTTGGCAAAATGTGTATGAGGTTTTTTATTTCAGAATGTCTCTCTTTGTAATTGTTCGTTCATTTACAGTCTTTTTAAGTTTGTGTTGATATTAATAATTGTCGATATTAAGTGTCTCTTTTAGAAGGAGTTTTTAAGAGTGATTTACCTTTAACTGTAATGTAATGTTTTTTTTAAGGTCATTCGCACGTTGATGTTTACTTTATTATGATTCACTTTAGATAAGCAATGTTGAGAATTGATATCCACAGAGTTGATTCAGTTTTCGATCGGGAATGAGTCAGCGATGATGTATCTTTGCACGGTAATTCGTGATTTAGAGTGACGTGGAGTATTTTGGCAAGTTATCTGTGGGTGTTTGTTACTGACTGCCTGGGGAAGTCAGCGTTTATTTTTATAAGGCTTGAAAGTCCGAAGGTGGCTCACTTGAGTTTTGGCGCAATTTTGTTCTGCACATGAACTTTCAGTGATGAACCAATGAGATTGTTTGTTTCGCTTAGTGCAGTTTTAATTGGTTGAAGTTTTCCGTACGTAGGCGTAAGATATAGACTGTTCTGTTGCTAGGGTTGAAAGGTAAGGGAAAAAGGACGAGTCTACAATACCTCCCCCTAGATTAATGGCTTGTTTCTTGTAAACCCGTGTGGGCGTATATATTATTTCCGTCATTTTTTGTTTAAGATCAGACACAAAATAACTGGTAGGAGTAGAATCCGTAACATTGTAAAAAATTTGTCCTGGAAGGGTTGTTGGTTTCCCGAATACCAACTCCGCACTAGTACATTTCAGATCTAGTTTGATTGTATTTCGTAGCGCAAGCATCACAAATGGTAGTTTGTCTACCCACGTACGAGCACTGGTAGACGCTGTTAATGCGTACTTGAGCTGTCGATGAAAACGTTCTACTAATCCGTTGCTGCAGAGATGATATGCCGTAGTAGAAATGTGTTTAATTCCAAGCAAATTGACGAACTCAATAAATAAAGTCGACTGGAATTGAGGTCCTCTGTCGGTAGTAATAACCGCGGTGCATCCAAATATCCAATTCTGAAAGATAGCGTTGGCTACCGCTTCTGTTGCTATCGTTGATAGCGGTACGGCCACCGGCCATCGTGTGAAGCGATCTACGATAGTCAGGATATATTCGTATCCATTGATCCTGTCAAGCGGACCCACAAGGTCGGCGTGTATATGAGTAAAACGACCATCAGGGGCCGCAAAGGTTAACGATGGTGCTTTCGTATGACGGCTTACCTTTGTTGCCTGGCAACGCTGGCACGTGCGGGACCATTGTTTCACGTCGGAAGCTATACCGGGCCAGACGAATCTGTCAGATATGGTCCGCAGCGTAGCCTTCGCTCCAGGGTGAGCTGGTGAATGAAAGTAATCGAAAACCATTTTTCTCATCGACGGAGGCAGGTAGGGTCGAGGATTGCCTGTTGAAGTATCACAATAAACAAGCTTGTCGGTGAAAGGTAGTGGACGTCTTTCTAATTTCAGAGAGGTATCTGCCTGTACTGAAGGGACTGTGTCGTCACTCAACTGTTCTTCAGCAAGTGTGTCGAATTCGAGTGAAGATGATTGTATCACGTCAAGTGTAGGTCTCGATAATGCATCTGCAACAGTATTAAATTAGGTTATGTTGACCTTTTACGAACCGAATGTCCGATGTAAATTGACAGATATAATCCAAGTAGCGAATATCTCTCGGGTTTAGTTTATCGGACTTCGCGTGTAGTGCATACGTTACGGTTAACGGTTTATGATCTGTGAGAATGATAAAGTCTCTACCCTCAAGGATGTGTCGATAACGCCGTATTGCCAAATAAACAGCAAGTAATTCTCTTGAAAAAGTACTATATTTCTTCTGTGTAGCATTTAGCTTTAATGAGAAAAAAGACAAAGATGTTTCGATGCCATCAATAATTTGGTGCAACACAGCGCCAATTGTGTCAGCTGATGCATCTGTCGTTAAGGTGAGGTTAGCTTTCTCCGATGAATTAAGTTAGTTTGGTATAGTTCTGTAGTGCATCTTTTGCATTTTGAAATGATCGTAGCTCATCTTGTGATAGTGATATCTGCGAATTTTTTTTCTTATGCAGAGACAAGATATTCGTCAGTGGTAATAAAATTGACGCACAATTTGGGATGAACTGTCGATAATAGTTAACCATCCCCCAAAATCTCCTCAATTGCTTCAATGTGGAAGGGGGAGGGTAATTAGCGATCGCTGTAATTTTCTGATCCAAGGGAGACAATCCATGCTGGTCTAAAATATGCCCGAGGAAAGTCAAACTCGGTACTGCGAAAACACACTTATCAATATTTAGTTTTAACCCGTAGTGTTGTAATCTTTTGAGAACTGTGTGCAGATGTTCATGGTGTTCTGCATGAGATTTGCTTGCTATGAGTACGTCATCTATAAGCATGTGTGTAAGGCATTCCGCGTAGGATTTCGTCTATTAGCCTCTGGAAAGACTGCGCCGCGTTACGCAATCCAAAGGGCATTCTCGTAAATTCGAAGAGTCCGAAAGGCGTTGTAATGTAATAGCAGTTTTCGGAATGTCATTTTCCTCGATGAGAATCTGGTAATATGCCTTTTTAAGATCGAGCTTGGTGAATACTTTAGCACCTTCCAACGAAAGGGCGAAATCTTTAATATGTGGGATTGGGTATTTGTCCGGGACGGTCTGCGCGTTTAGAAACCTGTAGTCGCCGCACGGACGCCAACTAGCTGAGTCAGCTTTAACAACCATATGTAGAGGGCTGGCATAAGGACTGGCTGAAGGACGGATTACACCAAGTTTGAGCATGTTGTCAAATTCGTCACGAGCTATTTTTAGTTTACTCGGATGGAGTCTGCGAGGTTGAGAATGGACTGGAGGTCCTGCGGTCTTAATACTATGAGTGGCGTGGTGTTTCACAGGTTCATTATGTGTTGTTTGACGGTGACAGTAGCGATTGGTACTGACGAATTATCTCGTCGTAGCCATTGGCTGTAGGTATAACAGTCGTCAGACCGATTGTCGAATACTTAGAAATGAAACCGCAACGTTGTAGATTTGTGACGCCAACTCAACGGATAATTTGTAATGGGTTAGGAAATCCGCTCCTATGATCGGCATTGCGACATCCGCGATAGTAAAAATCCACGTAAATTCTCGTCTAAGGCCGATGTCTAGCGTTAGGGTTCGCTCGCCGTACGTGGTGATCGGAGTGCCATTAGCGGCCTGTAATTTGAAAGATGTATGCTTAACTAGAGTCTGTTTGCTGCAATTTTTGAGAGGCAGGACACTTATTTGGGCACCGGTGTCAACTAAAAATTTTAAACCGCTCGCTCTGTCATGGATGTAAAAGAGACGATTAGTTTTTAAATGTCTGGCATCCAACGTCTCTACTGGGTGCCAGCGGGTCCGTTTCCCGCTTGTTTGTTTGGAAATGACTTTTTATACGAACATGGTGATCGGCATTTCTTCGCGCGCGCGCGCCAAAATTTTCGTGGTACCAGCAATTGGCATGTTGGTAACGATCACGGCGTTGTTGGTATTTATGCCGAGACGCAGATCTTGAACCACGGTTACTGAGTCGCGTAAAATTATCACGCCGACTTTCATGTGGTTTTTGTAAATCACGCAGTTGTAGAGATATTTCTTGCAATTCTGAAGACAATTTTTGAATCTGTTGGTTGACATCTGGCACAAGGCCATCTACGGTCTCCGTTGAGGAAATCTGTCGTATCGGGGTAGTATCGGCTATTTTGTCCGCTATCGTTGCCAATTTTTGTATATCAACGTCGTCTGTTAATGCAGCCAAGATTCGTACCATGTCTGATGGTAATTTGTCCAGCCCCATCTGGCGGAATACTCTGGCTGATATGTTGTTGTCGCCCAACAGTTGTTGCATGCGTCATAATAATTGAGATGGTTTCGAATCTCCAATTGTAACGTTTGTTAAGAGGTCTTTTATTTTTCTTTCCTCCGAAAAACCAGATCGGTGTAGTATTGCTTGTTTAAGGGTCTCGTATGGCTTGTCTATTGGTAGAGAGGTTAATATGTCGGCTACTTCAGCCGCTACCTCCGCGGGTAGTTTCTCTACCACGGACGCAAATTTTGATTGCTGCGAAGTTATGTGTTTGGCCTGGAATATCGCGTCCAGTTGTAAGAACCACGTCTGAACGTTTGAGTTGAAAGCAGGCATTTCGAGTCTGATTGCCGTTTCTGTGAGAGGAACTGGATCAGCCATTTATGAAGTCGGAGTTTTGTTTCTGGATCTTTGGTCTGCTGGTTCGAAAACAACAAGTGTCGATTTATTTTCTTCCCGCGCGTTGGAGTCGTCACTAATTCTGTTTTTGTACGTCGGGATTCCAATTTTGATTTCTTCAACGATTCACACGTCTGAATCGCCAATTTTTTTGTTCGGGTTTCGCACGTCGGTGGGTACCAATTTTGTTGGTCATGAGTTTTTTTTTTACATGAACGTCGGGGTAGTCAAATTTGTTCGCCGCACGTCGAGGTTATCAATTTTTCTTGTTGGAACGTCGGGATTACCAATTTTGTTGGTGGAACGTCGGGATCGCCAATTTTTGTTGGAACGTCGGGGTCGCCAATTTTATTGGTAACGCTGAACATCGAACGCCGGGGTCATCAATTTTGTTGGTGACATGCAGAATTTATTAATTATGCTTGAAAAAATCAGAAGGAATTTGTGTAGGTTGCGTGACTTCCTGCATCCACAACAAATAAATAAACGAAATTTAAAATACGATTAAGAACGAGACATATTCAATTAGAAATTAATATAACATTTATATACAATTCAAAGATATATACAAACAGGATAATTGATATATGTTATGTTGGCGAAATGTGTATGAGGTTTTTTTTTATTTCAAAATGTCTCTCTTTGTAATTGTTCGTTCATTTACAGTCTTTTTAAGTTTGTGTTGATATTAATAATTGTCGATATTAAGTGTCTCTTTTAAAAGGAGTTTTTAAGAGTGATCTACCTTTAACTGTAATGTAATGTTTTTTTAAGGTCGTTCGCACGTTGATGTTTACTTAATAGGTAGCGAATATGATTCACGTTAGATAAGCAATGTGGAGAATTGATATCCACAGAGTTGATTCAGTTTTCGATCGGGAATGAGTCAGTGATGATGTATCTTTGCGCGGTAAATTCGTGATTTAGAGTGACGTGGAGTATTTTGGCAAGTTATCTGTGGGTGTTTGTTACTGACTGCCTGGGGCGGTCAGCGTTTATTTTTATAAGGCTTGAAAGTCCGAAGGTGGCTCACTTGAGTTTTGGCGCAATTTCGTTCTGCACGTGAACTTTCGGTGATGAACCAATGAGATTGTTTGTTTCGCTTAGTGCAGTTTTAATTGGTTGAAGTTTTCCGTACGTAGGCGTAAGGTATAGACTGTTCTGTTGCTAGGGTTGAAAGGTAAGGGAAAAAGGACGAGTCTACAACGTCATGTTCCAGCTTCTTCGATACTTTCAAGGCTGTATAATTCAGTCAGTTTATTGACTGTCGTCTAATATGTACTTTTTACATGAAGAACTTTCCTTCATGCTCTCGACAAATAGCCGAGTTGTTATTTCAGCAACCAAATTGGTAATGCTTCTGCGACGACCGGCAAGTTCCTGCTTCTTCAAATCTGCGTAGAAACCAGTTGAGTCCTACAGAAGAAAAAATTACTACCACTTCTTTGAAGAAACTACCCCACCCTATTCACAGGGGCAAAAAAGGGCATAATCTTTTTTTTGCAAAGACGCAATAAAATTTGTATTAAATTTTAAGGTAGGCTTTGTCAATTGTATGTCTTTTCTTATCTCTGCCAAGGGTTAAACTGTGTGAGAAGAAATTCTCACAACGGCAAGTGCCGCGACTTTATCATTAATAAAACAAGCAAACACTCAATTGAAAAGTCTCACATTGCCAAGAAATTTCTCGATGCAGAAATCAAATCAAACGAAAAGGATTTGATGGATTTGAAAGTTAAATTTAACACAGTTTATTGTATATGGAAGGAAGAAATGGCCTTTACAAAACTCAAGCCCCTACTCTTACTTCAATACAAAAATGGACTACCTGTGTCACCTGCATACAGTAATGATGTTAGGTGTGGTGAAATGATGTCTACTATTGCAAGCACGATCAGAGATGAGACATTGGAATCTATCAGTGACTCTCATTATGTGTCAGTTATGATCGATGGTGCCACTGACAGCTCTGTGTCAGAAAATGAAGCAGTTTATGCGAGAACTGTTGAATGGCAAAGCAGAAAATAAACTTGTTGAAGTTATTGCCATTGAACATGGCCATGCTAAAGGCATTATCTCTGCTTCTAAATCTGCTCTTTCAAAAGTAGGGATCAGTGATGATGAAATGTCATCGAGAATTGTTGGGTTTTGTGCAGATGGGGCAAATGTGAATACAGGACAGAGGAATGGTGTTGTGTCACTGTTAAGGCAGGAAGTTCCCCATCTCATAGACTTTCACTGTATGGCATATAGGCTTGAATTAGCCCTATTGAAACTACAAAAACAGACTCCTATTATGCAGTCTGTCAATGACTGTCTACATTTGATATGGAAGACTTACCACTTCAGTCCAAAGAGCAAGAGAGAACTCAAGATCATTGGAGAAGAACTTGAAGCAAGAATCTACTCACCAGCACCAGTGAAGGGTACCAGATGGATTCCCCATGTAGACAGGGCAATAAGAGTCTTTCTCCAAGGAAAGAAAGATGGTCATTTGGCTCAGGATCATGGTCAATACGCAGCAGTCTACACTCATATGGAAAATCTTGCAGCAACATCATCAAATGCAGACATTGCTAGGAGAGCTAAGAAAATAAACAAGGAATTGAAGGATCTTGTATTCACTGCATTTTGCCATTTCGTATCTGATCTATTTGGCGAGCTAGCTTTGCTCAGTCTAAAACTACAGACAAACAATCTGATTCTTCCTGTAGCAGTTGCATCAATTAAGGATTGTATGGAAACTGTTTCAAGTATGAAGGAGGAATATATTCCTGGGGGAATCTATGAAAAGTTTATCCTGTGTATTGAAGAACACAGTCTTAAAATTTGCAGGGTAATCCCAAATTTCAAGGAGTTGAAATGACCGGGAGTCCTGTTTATGAGGCCAAAGAAAAACTAAAGAAGCATGTTGAGTCTACAGTTGACATTACAATCAAAGAACTAGAGTCAAGGTTTCAAAATCTGTTGGGAACAAATACAAGTGTAGATGCTCAAGGTGTGGTGAAAAGTTTCATTAAGGTGTTCAATCATGACACATGGCCAGAATGCAAAAGGGAACTTGTCCATTTTGAAAATAATGAAATAGACATTATTTGTGACTGGTTTGGAAAACCTCTTGTGGCTGCAGGATGCAATATGGAAGTTGTTCAGACAGAATGGAGACACATGAAATTCTTTGTTGCAAATACTTTCAGGGACAAGTCTTATTCTGATTTGTGGCAAATCCTACTGACCAAGGACCCATACAAGACTGACTTCTGCAATGTACTTCATCTTGTGAGAATAATGCTCACTCTTCCAATCAGCTCTGCAGAGTGTGAGAGAGCCTTTTCTGCACAGAAGCAAATAAAGAGTGACATGGAGCAGCTTGTCTGTACAGAGACTGTCAGACTTAATCTTGCTTTCTTCTGAAGGTCTAGATCTGGCTGAATTCAACCCAGAGAAATCCATTGACAAGTGGATGGCAAGCAGCAGGAGAAGGATTGCTGGGGGGCCAGGACAGTGTGACTGGACAGCTAACATTGTGTCTGTTGATCGAAAGTGTAAGGACAAAGCAGTACTGTTTAGATTTAGAGTCACAAGCTATTGATTTGACAATTCAAATTGAGCAAGTGTTAAAGTGGGACTGGAAATTGAAATAAAAAGGTAAATGCAATTCAATATTGGGCAAATGGAGTTATAAATTTTAAAAGATAAAACTTCAGTTTGAAACAGATAGAAATAAGTTCAATGTCAGTAACACACAGTATGTGTTTGCGAGACCATCTGGACATTTCCCTTTCCAGTCCCACTTTAAGATCTTAGATCAGCATTACTATAGTTAATATTTCTGAGTGACATTTACCAACCTGATAGGGAAATTGAAAATAAGGTAAAAACCTTTTGTTAAGAGTGTTACAATAATTGCAAATCATGACTGAATATTTCTAAATGACACCTTTTCCAGGTAACAGTTGAAGTGAATGTTATGTTTTTATGAGGTTGTTGTTGTTTCAAGTTTAATAATATTGAAACTGATGCACTCTTCAAACTTGCATTTGTCAGTTGACTGAATTATCCTGAGTGATATTTGTCAGGTAACTATAAACAGTTCTACAGTTTCTAGACTCAATATAATGTATTTATGATCTTTTTGTTTGAGGTTGTTTAGTAATATTGAAACTGATGAGATCTTGAAACTTCAAATTTGCATTTAAATTTTGTGAGTAAGTTTACTGAATATTTCTAAATGACATCTTTCAAAGTTTGCCAGGTAACAATTGAAGTGAATGTAATGTCTTTATGAGTTTGTTGTTTCAAGTTTAGTAACTAATATTGAAACTGATGGGATCTTCAAACATGTATTTGTCAGTTGACTGAATTATTCTAAGTGATATTTGTCAGGTAACAGTACCACTGAATGTAATTGTTCTTGAAATTTCTAAATTTCCTCCCATAAATTTCATCTGTATTGTCTTAGAGACTTAGAAAATAAAACAAAACTTCACCTGGAATTGTTTTATTCATAACATTAGAGTGAAATAACATTACATGGATTTGGCTAGTAACTTTTCTATTTGGCTAGTAAACGAAAATATTTACTTGTCAAAGGTCAACTAAAGGTAAATTTGTCCGTAGAGCCCTGCAAAATAGGATACTTTACTTGAGTTTGTGTCAAACTTTTGAAAAAAGTAACTAATAGGAACAGATATCTCATCTATTACTTGATGTAATGCTGTATCAACAATTGTAGTGAAGAAAATGGCAAACTACTGCATCAAACCAAGTGTTGTGTATTCTACATTAGAAAATGTGGCGAAAAAGAAAGCTACATACCAAGAAAAAGGGCACATCTTCTATTCAAAATAGAAACAAGTCAGTTGCACATGTTGCCATAAATGTATCTAGGATATGCTAATATTGTGTGTCCTTTCCCATCTGACAACCAATGAAAAATTATGCCGTCGATAAAAGCAGTTGGTGTTCTCAAATTGCTAGGG